TCCCCTTTTTATTTTGCTCAAAAGGCAGCATATCACACACCCTGTTTTACACTGTGCTTTTCATTGAACAATTTATCTTGGAGATTTTTTTATTCAATACTTAACAGATCTGGGTCAGGAAAGCCAGGAGCCCAACAGGTGAGAATAGTTTATCAGCACTGGTTACCAGGAATCAGAAAGCAGCTGGGCTCATGCCAGCTGTCAGAACAGCAGCCTCAATTTCACACTGGCACGCCTTTTACTTCCCAGAAACTCTGTCTCAGCCCTGGAAAGGGCCCTATCTAGAGAACCAACCAACTTGGTTGATCCAACCTACTCAGTTTACACATGACAAAGCAGGTCAGGAGAGCAGAGGGTCTTGCCCAAAGTCAGACCACGGTCAGGGACAGACTTAAGAGATTGCTGGTCTACTGACTTCTGGCCCCAAATTCTCTCCCCTGTACCACTTACTTTTAGGGATGTGTCACTATCTGCAGAGTCAATTTCAAATTTCTGTATTTAACACTGGTGCCAACTTAGAAGGAAGCACGGTGTGGTGTGGTTTTAAGAGCGAAAGCACTAGTCATAGAGTCACGAAATCTGGGTTATAGTCCTGAGCCATCTTTGGGTCCCAGTTTCCTCATCTGTGAAATAAGAGACCTGAACCAGATGCTCTCTAAAGTCTCTTCTGAAGTCTCCAAAGTCTCTGATTTTCTCCTTCTAACAATACTGAAGAGTCTGGTTCTTGCAAGCTATGCCTGTGCTTGTGCTATTAGTTACACCTGGAATATACCTTCTATTTCTCTCCCTCCACATCTTTCAAGGCCCACCTTGACTTTTCCTGGGATTTACTTACTCAGAAACTGTTCCTTGTGAACAAGCTAAACACTCCTATCTCAGCACTTACAACCTGCTCTTCCCTTGACCTAGATTACTCCTTCCGCAGAGCCACAGCAATTGGCCTCTCAGTCCTACTGAACGCCTCCTCAAAAAAAACTTACAGATGCTTTTCCTAAACATCGTATCCAAAATGGGACTTCTCCAATCACTCTTCTCGTTTTACTTCTCTTCATAGCTCTTAGTGTACAATTATGTTTAGTCTATCTCACCCCACTGGAATGCAAGTTCCTTTAAAACAGCAACATGTCTTTTTTTTTTTTAACTTAGAACAGCACCTGACACATAATAAGCGCTCAATAAATATTCAGTGAATGAAAGAAATATGATTATTTGTAAACAATTAAGTAACAACAAGGCCAAGCTGCAGAGACTCCACTTCTAATACTACCTGAGGTGTTTCTCATGTTCAGCAGCTTGTTCTGTAAGAAAGCCCTGCGTGAGAGTCCCAAACTGGGGAAAACTATAAGTCAGGGAGGGAGCACAGATGTAGTCATGCAAATAGCAAAGGATTCATTTGGAGTCAGACAGACAGGCTCTACTTCTAAGCTCTGCCACTGTGCAACCTTAAGCATGTCCTTAACCTCTATAAATCAGGAAACAACCTACCTCACAGGTATACAATGAGGATCAGGGAAAATAATGTCTGCGGGAGGACCTTGTCCGGTACAAAGCATCATACCCTATAAATTATTACTAAAGGCCAGGAGTAGGCCCAATTTGTTAACATGGGAACAGCTTTATTTAAGAGAAACCGCCACATGAAAAAGTACCCATTCTTTAAAAAAGACATGCACACGCCCGGCTGGGCATGGCTCAGCGGTTGAGCGTCAACCTAGGATCCAGGCGATCGGGGTTTGATTCACGGTCAGGGCACATGCCCGGGTTGCAGGCCCGATCAATGACTCTCTCATCATTGATGTTTCTATCTCTCTCTCCCTCTCCTTTCCTCTCTCTGAAATCAATAAAGATATATATATTTTAAAAAGACATGCACATGCATGAATGTCTGTCTACTTAGAGGTATACATACTTTGGACATAAGACACAGGTCTAAAAGACACATACTGAAAACGAACCTGACTTACTAGAAAACTCTTACCTGAAATCCTGCCATATATCTCACTCTGTAATGTGAACTCTTCTTGCCAGACTTCAGATAAACTGCCCATTGACTGCTATGAGACTGAATTTTCCAGTGGAAGAAGTCAACCGCAACCTCTTGTAGAATACTATAAGCCTCTTGGACACATTACGCTGCCTATGGCTTCCACCCATTGTTTCTGTGCTGGTTAATAAAAGCAAACCGCTCAACCACCTCTCTAAGTTATTTCTCAACAGCAAACCCCAGAATAGGTTAGCATTACTTGTTGCATTTGGTAGATAAGAAAACCAAGCCCTATCTCCTTTAAAAAGCCAATCTTGATATGAAACCCATACAAATTTCTTCCTAACCTGAATACTTATAGTACTAACTGATGGGCATGCACTTTGGTGCTAGATCTTACACCATCTCGGTAGCATTACAAATGTCTTCTTTGTGTGGCAAGAACTGTTATATTTCTCATATAGTCTCAAGAGAACTTAGCACAGGGCTTTCTTAGCACAAGAAAGATGCTCAGAAATACTAATCTGAATTGAACTTAAAGGAAATTATAGTGACTTATCTCAGGAATTTAGGAATAGAACTAAACTTAGAATTCTTACTTCTTAAGTTTCAAATTTAATTCACAACCTACAAAACAACACTGATTACTCATATCACTCATATTTTAATTCTGAGCATAGGCAAAGCTCCCTGAGGCACCCCATTCCCAACAAGGAGACAGACTTGATCTTCCATTTTATAACCTACAATGCACCCAAAACATTTCTTCTACAAAACCTGTAATAGTTTATTGCTCTGATGGTGGCAGGTCTGCTCCACAAGGTGACTGTATGGTCCTCAAAGGCAAGAATACAACCTAACGCATCTTCTTTTTTCTATCACCTGTGCCTAACACTGTGAGACACACAATAGCACTTAACTATTTGAGAATGTTAGAGTGAGAGCAGATTAAGGAGAGAGTATTAAGAAAAAGATCACGAGATTATAAGACTGTCACCTAGTGTGTCCATCTATACCCCAATAAAAGTGTTATAAGAACCACATTATTCTAATAGGTGAGAGTGAATAAACATGTGAGAATCAAAATACTGGTGGGGTTTGATTACAAGGCAACAATTTCAGCTTCCATAACTAGTTTATTATCCCAACTTGAAAGTATTTAGATGAACCATTATTCTTCCAAAATAAACTTTTCTTGATCTTTGCCTGGCATTTTCATTGGGGAAAAAAGATTACTCAAATTTCACTCCTCTGCTTAAAAAAAAGAAAATAAGAATAAGAGGAAAACTAAATCTCATCCTAATACAGGTGGCAGAATAATTTTTCCACAATGAGTAGACATTCTTAATTATATTGCAGCACTCCAAATAAAATGTATGTTACTGAACTATGAAATATGCATGAATTATGCATATAACATCTAGTTAAATGATAATCACTCTGGAATGAAGAAATTTCTCCTTTGGTTCAGTTTTTTCAAGCAGCTACTAGTCAGTTTCAAGTCAATGAAAATTCCATCTTTGCCAAGTGTGTAGAATAACATACCTACATTAATCCTTCCAACTTTTGCATGTACAGATTGGCCTCAAGATTTGGAATCATCTGTGTTGCCAAGAAGGGCCTGGTTATTTTGTATTACATTCTTGCTCCAAAGCTAGAGTGAGGGTTACTTCTGCCAGAGTCTGCTAGAGGAAGGCAGAACACTGGAAAGACCATGACCTTTGGGGTCAAGCTTGGGTTTAAATCCTGATTCTACAACCCAAGACAGTGTGACATTGGGCTAGTTGCTTAATCTCTCTGAATCTTTATTTCCATCTGGGCAAAAGAGAGATAATTCAAACTTTCTAGAGCTGTATGGGGACTACAATATAACACATACATAAAGTGACTAGTCCATAATAGGGACTCAATAAATGTTAGTTTCTCTTCCCACGTTTTTTGCAGCCACAAAATACCTACTTAACACTGTTCATTAGTCAAAGCAATAGCTCTGTTTTCTACTTTGGTGTCATTTGTAGGCCTGCTGGCAGCCAGGTCACACAGTTCATTAAGACCATCACACATGTTGAAGATGATCTGTGCCAGTTTTTTTTTAAAGAAAGTTCTTGATGAAAAAAACAAAAAACAGCTTTATAAACAGTCTTTGCCTACCTTTGATTCAACAGCAATTTTTAACAGTCTAACTACTTTCAAAAACCTTTTCTTTATTTTGCTCCCACTGATTTGTGGGAATTGTCACTGTTATTAGAGTAAATAACCAACACATTTATTCTGAAAAACTACTAGCCAGAGGAATCATTAGAAGGATTGTTGGTACAGAAATCCTTGGCAGAATTCTAGGTTTCCATTTATGTAGTCTGCAAAATTTTGTGAAATCTAACAAAATGGTATTAATTTTTGCCTATGAATATGAGCTTGTATTAGAGAAAAAATTTTGTCTGGATTTATTTTGTTACTCTATTTTGGGTTTATTTAGTTAAACATTTGCAAAAAAGTGAGTAAACTATTATATTATTTGCTATTTATATGGTTGTCACCACACAGTGCTAAATATCTCCTGAGGGGAAAAACCAGTTTGGGATTTAAGCCAGGATGACAAATTTTACACCAAAACAGAGAGCTTCTAGAGATGCCTAGAATTTTAAATCTGAAGAATTATACTATTTCAAGATTTTTTTTGTTTTTCAAGGGTAGTTTGCTACTATTCCTATTTTGTAGTTTAGTAGAAATGTAAAAATTTCCTTCATCTATCCTTCTGGCTCTATAAGAAAAGGACACTAGTAGGCATGTACTATTTTTATGTTGGCAACCGGAGCTGTTTTGAGCCATTTTAGTACTATCCAATTCTTATGCCAAGAAAAAAGGTTAGCATGACATTAGCAAGCTAAAAAGTACATTCTCAGTCTTTGGTCCCTTAATAAGCACATTACTTAACAACTCCACCATTTATCTTTTGTCTATACATAACAATACAATTAAAAAATATACACCATTAAACCATAGTTAGAAAGCCTACCTTTTGTGCATCTCCTGTAAAATACGAAATGGCCAGGGTGGGCAGAATCATGAACAGTGCATTGTAATAGAGCAGACCATATTTTCCCAGCTCCTAGGACAGTAAACAATTAGGTGTTTCATTTGGTTCTAGCAGATAAATATACAAAACCCGACATAAAGTACTACCCTCATTATACACGCAGCTACACACACACCTCCTGCACAATATACAAAGCAAATTAGGCAAGTCAGAAGTTCTCAAACATTAAGAAATAGCCTAAGCTTTCTAAAGAAAAATAAAAAATACATGTTTTAAAATTAATTTAAGGTAAATTCGTTGAGTGTTTAAAATCAGAGAAATAAAAATGACATCAACTATTGCCTCAAAACAGTAAATATGGAAGAGATTATTTTGAACAAATGTACACATCTCAATAGAAATTCTTCCTTGAAGCCCTTCCCTTTCCAGAACTGAATAAAAAATCATTAAGTTAGTCTTGGACTTTTCAGAACCATAGCAGAGTGCCATTTAAAAGAGATGGATGGCTCTGGCCAGTGTAGCTCAGTTGGTTGGGCATTATCCTGGGCACCGAAAAGGGCACATACCCGGATTGCGGGCTTCATCCCCAGTAGGGTACCTGCAGGAGGCAGCCAATTGATGTTTCTCTCTCACATTGATGTTTCTCTCTCTCTTCCTCTCCCTTCCTCTCTCTCTAAAAAAATCAATAAAAAAATATTTTAAAAAAATTTTGAGAGAGAGAGATGGATGGACAGACTCACACATGTACCAACACAGACACCTATAACTTCCCAGTGAAGTATTTCTGTAAATGCATAGGTGAAGTACATTAAAAATGAAGATTACTATATCTACAATTCCCTAAACATAGTATGACTAGTTGTACCTCAGCTACTAGGGAGCAATGAGGACCACGCACATCTTCAAACACAGGGAGCCTATGAGAACTCTGGGTCTACCTCTGACTCACACACTTCTGGGGCATTTCATTGGGATGCAGTCACCTTAAAAAGTAGGCCAGAGTTTGGCAGGTCAGGGGGCTGAAGAAGTAGTAAGGACAAGGACATGATATTTGCCTAACTTCTGTGATTAAAAGATCACTGAATTATTAAAAAAAGTCAAACTAACTTCTCAAAAGAAGCTTTGAAAACAAATATCCAATAACAGAAAACTAGTTAGACTATGATGCAACCATACAAAGAAACATTATACAGCCATTAAAAATGTTTAATACTGAGAGGTGTTCATGAAACAGTAGTAGGTGAAAACGTGTTAGAAAACATTATACAGCATCGCTCTTTAAAAATTTTACACATAGTTAAGTGTGTACATAAGTGTGTGCACACACACACTAAAGGATATCCACCAAAACAGTGCTTCTCACTTGATGGTAGAATTAAGGAAGATTTCTATTTTCTTCCTCTTGTTTATCTATGCTTTCTACTACTTTTATTATAAATATGTATTACTTGTGTGATTTCTTTAAAGTTAAAAATGTTTTAAATTCAATAGCTGCATTCATGTCTAAAATGCAGCCCTAAGTTTTCATGCCACATTACTCATGATTATAAGCAGTCCTGGGATTATACATAATAAAAACTCCCGATCAAAAGCTTCTCAGTGGGGCCATACTGCCTCTCGGATAAACCAAAAAACTGATTGTTTATGGCGACCACAAGCATCAGTGAAAAGGAATGTCTCACTTCTAAGGCAACAAGGAAAAAGCCATAGGACAAAACCACCTTAAACAGGGCTCCAGTCAGCCAGAGACATAAGTGTTATCCATCTCTTAAAGAGGATGCCTACACACCACACAAACACACACACATACACACACACCCATCCAGATAACTGACAGATGCCAAACTGTTCTGTTTTTCTTTTCACATTTTAACTGTTTTGAATATCTTTTCTCCTGCTTTTTAAAGAAAGTACATAGACTAAAATTTAACTTAGGGCATCATTATAAACATGCAGTACTATATTGTGTGGGATTTTTTTTAACTGATCTTAGAAAGAGAAGGGAGGCAGAGAGGGAGGGAGAAACATGTGAGAGAGAAACATCGATCGGCTGCCTCTTACACATGCCCCTAACAGGGATGGAACCCGCAATCTGGGTTATGTGCCCTGACCAGAAATCGAACCCACCACCTTTATGTGTATAGGACAACACTCTAACCAACTGAGCCACACTGGCCAGGGCTGTATTTTGTTCTTACGTGGTATTGCACTTAAAGCTGTTTAATAGCCCCTGAATCATTTCTGAGTACTCCATCTGATTTTTATAGTTTTCTTGTTTGTTTCTCTTATTGTTAGCTGACCTTTTATACTGCTGGTAAGCCTCTCTCTGCATCTAAAAAGAATCCATCTTCTAGTTTGTTGCTTCTAATCCATGCACTATGAAAAGCAGATCAATAATGCTTAAAAGGTCTCATACAAATAAGTCACAAGTCATTTCTATGAAAGGAACTAAAGGGCTCTCCTGGGAATGAAATACTCAGAAATCCTCTTTGCTTTTTTCTATGTTCCAGGATATACTCTAGACTGTGCTGTACAATATGATAGCCACTAGCCATATGCAGCTATTTCAATTTAATTACAATTACATTAAACTACTAATTCAGTTCCTCAGTAGTACAGTCACTTATCAAGTGCTCAACAGTCACATGTGGCTAGTGGCAACCATTAATGGACAGTAGAAATACAGAAGATTTCCATCGTCACAGAAAAACTCTACTATGACAATACTGAGAGAGATGAGGCTGCTGGAAAAATGAAATTTTATTATTCATACCTATTTTCCAAAGCAGCAAATGAGCTGGAGGGGGGAAAAATGGGATAAAAACTAAATCTCTAACTGGTCTCTTTCCTTTTGCTATTTCAAAAAGAAATTTTTTAATAGTGGCTTCCATTAAAATGCAATCATCATACAGAATTGTCAAGACAAGTACATGGAAAACAAGACATAAAAGTTATGTTTAAAGAAAATTTGTTAGAAACAGATCTACACTGTCCCTAGTTCTTCAAGGATATTAAAAAATAAATATTCTCTGAAAACGAGAGGTATTGGGATGGTCATGCATCTTAGGGTTCTTTCTGGAGAAGGCAAAGCCCCTTGCCAAGATGATACTAACTCAATATTAATACTACTATAGAGTAGATAGGTCATTGATATTTATTATCTGAACTCCAAAAAAGGACCAGAAGTAGTTTCAGAAATACTGCACAAACTAAACAGATAAGGTCATCTGACTGAAAACACGGGTAGGAGAATATGATAAAGCCATGGTCAGTTACAATGAGATAAAATACACCAGCTATTCAGGAAAAACTATGGTGACATCTATGATAAATATCTCATGTGGGTCCCCATATAGGATACATTATGATAAAAAGGACAACTCCTTCAATAACAACCCTATGATATGTAAAGCTCAGTTCCATAAAGCCTCTTCTTATAATAATGTAATCTTACACCATAATGTAATAAAGCAATGTGGCTCAAATACTCAGCTTTCTGATGATCTGACTTGATCTAAAAATAAAATTTAGTGTGTCTATACACAAAGTATATAGTAGACAAACTAACAACAAATGTCTTTAAAGCCTTTGTGTGCATGCTGCAAGTTGAGAGAGAAGAGCTGGGTATACAAAGTTCATGTGTATGAGATCTAGGCCAGGGAACTCGGTGTTGCCCCTCAGAAAGATCGTAATGCTCCCTAAGGTTTCCCATTATTTGAAGGACAAATACACAAAGTCCATTCTTTTTCTGCAGCCCCTTCCAACACTCACTTCTCTTCAAATCTGCTCAAGGTCTTTCAGATATTTCTTTCTTGTCCAGTTCCCTCACCAAGGCCTCTAGAATACAGCCATGAATATTTATAAACTACTCTCAGAGATCCTGTTTCTTTACCATCCCTCCTCAATATTCTTCTTTATTCCCCGCTTCTTCCCTGACAAATTGACATTATCATTCCCAAGACTGGTAAACATCTCTTAAAGAAACTTTAGATTGCTACCTACCTTTGAATCTAATTTTTGTTTTACATATGCGCCATTTGCTGCTGTCAGGGCATCATTTATCAAAATAAAAACATATCCTTCCAGATCAAAAGCCAAGTCAGAGCTGCAAAACATAAGCAACACTTTAACACCAACTTACATTTAAAGAACATGCATTTAATTTTAAGTAGATCTGAATAGAGTATTTGCAACAACATATTCTTATCTAGGTAAATGAAGATTAGGCATTTTATCAACTACTAGTATTTCTTGATTTCTAGCTACAAACTGAAATTTTTATATTAAGTAGAGTCTTCAGAAATGCAAAATACTAACACTTAAAATCATTAGCAATAAACAATCATGTCAGTTAAATAGCACACTGCTCTGAAGTCAAAGTCAGACCACAAGCAGCACCCAAATTCACTATCACATCTGAAGCAGGCAGAAGGCATCAGAATTCAATTTCACAGGTAAGGAAACCAAAAGGATGAGTTGTTAATACATCATTTTCCAAAGGTTCATGTAAAAAGTAGGACTCTCTTGCACAGGTGGTTGGGCCACTAGGTGGAATTTCTGAAGTGTGGATCATGGTTAGTTCTGACATCAAGCTACAACAGTGTCCAAAAGCACACAGTTAAGAACTCAAATACTGTGATAATTGCGTAACGCTCCTATGTGGTATAACTTAGTGGCATTAGGGGAACTAAAGTTTTCTAGTATTTAGTAGAGATAAGAATGTATTAAATTCAACAGAATAAATGAAAATCTGAGAAAAGTATGCCTTCAGCCCTAGCCAGTTTTGCTCAGTGGTTAGAGCGTCAGCCTGCAGACTGAAGGGTTCTGGGTTCAATTCTGACCAAGGGCATGAACCTTGGATGCAGGCTCGATTCCCCCACCCTGGTGATGCAGAAGGCAACCAGTCAATGTGTCTCTCTCACATTGATGTTTCTCCCTTTCTCTCTCACCCCCCACCTTCCACTCTTTCTGAAAAGCAATGGAGAAAATATCCTTGGGTGAGGATAAAAAAAAAAAAAGAAGAAAAGAAATGTATGCCTTCACATTTTAGCACCCTATCTAAATAATGGTCCCACATTCTGTGATTTTGCAAAGATACTACATATTTGTACCTAAACTACTACATGAAACAAGACTTCTGAGGAGCTCTACGCCACTGCAATTTTAGGCAGAACAAGCCTAATGCACACACCCTCTTTCAAGCAGCCTGACAACCCTAATTTCAGACTCCCTTCCTTCCTCCCAATCTCTTTCCCAAGTAAAATCTTCTAATTAGACAAGTCTGGTCCAGATAGCAATCCTCCTCAGAAACCTTGCAGGCCAGATGTTAGCTCTGAGAAACCCCTATCGTTTGGCTCAATTTTGGATCCCACCAGCTAGCTTCAAGGAAATGCTTCAAAAAGAAAGGTAGGATGCTCATATAGAATTTTTCTCCAAGGCAATAATATCTAGAAGGAAAAGCAGTTAATTATATAATGAAATTCCAGTAACCAACTATTCCATTCCCCCCTTTTTTAACAATGAAATTTCACTTGGAGATTTAGGGTGGAATAGAATTTGACTTATATTCTCACCCCCTCCCTGTCTATACCACAGGGATATGATGAAGGTAAATGAGCCAATCCAAGAGGACCAGTGTAACTCCCAAATGAAAAATATCAATCAGACAGAATTTGTGGCATTAGTATCCCATATATGCAGGTCCTAGGCTAAGTAAAATGTTATAAAAGGCTTCTAGCCATCATCTTAATTTTCTGAGTCTTTGGATATACATTTTCTCCACCCATTTGAAAACTAAAACTTAAGAACAACGGAGAAAGTTTTAATAATTTAATAGACTATCCAAGTTATGGCATTTGTGATATATCTTAAGTGAAGCCAAATAAAGCAATTCTATTATTTATTATTCCACAAGGCAAATAATTCATTATCATTTGCCATTTCTGAGACACTATTTTCTTTAGCAGCATAAAAAGTAAAAATACGCCACATGGTTTATAAAAGCACATAGGCTCTGAAGACAGGCAGAAAGATTCAAATTCCAGCCAGCTCTGCTATTTACTAGCTGTATGACTTTGAACAAGTTACTGAATTTTAGTTTCCTCAACTACAAAATAGAAAAATTATATCCACACCTTCCAGAGTTGTGAATATATAACATGTAAAAAATGTCAAACAAATTGCGTGGCATGTGGTATGTGCTCAATCAGTAGAAGACAGTATAATAAATGCTAAATTACATGAATTTAACTTTTAGGACTCCCAAGAATCTGATTTTGCCAGCCTTGATTTTAACAAACCCCAAAAGATTTAACTTTTAAAGCATCTTTTGGATGCTTTTCAAAGATATGATTCTTATTTGCCTATAAAAATTATCTTTATTGGTAAATCATCATTAATAATTATTGATAATTTCTAATGTGCTCATAAGCTTATATAGGTCCATGTCTTACCTGGCAGCTACAAAGGCTCCAATAATCATTGCAAATACAGTCATCTTAATACTCCAAGAAAAAGTCTTCCTATTAAAAAAAAATTAAATATATACATGTGGCTTTATTCACAAAGATATTTTATAACATGGGCAAAAAAAAAAAGACACCTTTGAAAAAAGCTATAAAGTCATATTTTAAATGTTTCTAAGGAATTGGATATTTAAAAGACCCCTCTTATTAAGCAAAATCTTATATACATAAGTATACTCTTTTTTTCCTTATTCTTATCATTTGTTATTATTGAGCCTGAATTTCAGCAAATAGGAATTTCTTTAAGTAGAAAAAGGTCACACACATTTGTAGTAAAAGTAGCCAAGACAAGAACACTATTTAAAACCTATATTGCCCTGGCCGGGTGGCTCAGTTGGTTGGAACATTATCTTGTACATCAAAAGGTTGTGGGTTTGATTACCAGTCAGTGCACAAACAGAGGTTGCAGGTTCCATCCCTGATCAGGGCAGGTAAGGGAGACAACCGATTGATGTTTCTCTCTCCCCCTTCCTCTCTAAAAATCAACAAAAACATATCCTTGAGTAAGGATTAAAAACAAAACAAAAATAATATATTGTTTCTGACCTGGCTTCACCCAATGACAGCAGTTGGTATAGGAATTCTTGAAAGTATATCTCATGTTCAGACAAGTTTCTAACTCCAATTCATAACCTTCCCAACTACTACTCCCATAAACTATCAATTCCTATAACAAAGGGATAAAGTTGCTTAAACTTTCCAAAAGATAAAGTAGAAGCAATACAAATAATTTTAATACTTTTATTAAACAATTATTATCTGGCTACCTTTTTAAACTGGTTTGAGTTTATTAAAGACTAGATATATCAGAAATTTAGCTCACTTGAGTAAAACTCCTTCAGCAAACATTGTAAACAGTATGGAGAACCTTCTCAGAACTGTAAACATTGGCAAGCTGCAAAAAAAACCCAAAAAACATAATTAGGTAAAATAGTTTAACAATTTATTTTTTAACTGTTTTAAAAGATTTTCCAAATTATTATTTAAAAAATTCCATGCTGATTAGTCTGTGATTAAATTAAGCCCTTATTTCTCTCTAGAAAGAATTCTTATTTGAAAGCCTGAAAGGGCTGCTTTTACAAAACTACTAGAAGTGAGAAACACTGAAAATGGTAGAGATCATACATCTATTATCAAAGACTACTAACAGCCACATTTTTATTTTACTTATTATGTATACATCCTGATAAGTAATCATGTTAGTCTTTAAGAGAAAAAGACCTCTTTCTCCTTTCTTTACTGACCTCCCTTCCCACTCCCAACCCTCCAAATAACATCTACAATAATCTTACTCCATGAGACATTCCTTAATTGTCCTTCTGTGGAAGTAATTTTGTCTTCCTCTAAATTCCCAGATAATTTCGCTTGCACTGATCAAACATATAGCCTCTTGTAATACAGTTATTTATGAATATATCTCATCTCACTAAAAAGTGCCTTATATTTAGCTGGCAGTCAAAGATAGGGTGTGAATGAATGGATGACAATGGATGAAAGAGAGCAAACTCTATTAAGCAGCCTTTGCAGAAGGTCTGCATTTCTTTCCAAGTGGGTAATGAGATGGAAAAGGATGCCCTGCCCATGATAAATATGACTTCCATGGAACACTCTCCAGAGATATCATTATGGTCATTCTGTCAAGTTTCTTGGGTCTAAAGAAAGAGGAAATGGAAAACACTTTGTCTCTGATCCTCAGAGATCTCCCCATTCTGTTTTACAATCATCCAGTAAGTATGACAGGGGTTTAGCTCACATGGAAGTGGTGAAGCTATGCGTTTCTGTTCAATGGTTTCCCTGTGTGTATAATTTTAACATTACATACACCCAACACACACTATACTCCTTAAGTGGAGAAACCAAGAATTGGGAGGTTAGAAGATAGTAAGATGGTGTTGTCATAACATAGAGAGCTATCACTTCTTTCTAAAAGTGAATACGCTGCCTCTACAGTTATATAGCAGTGAATAAAATATTAATCATACTTAAATCAGAGTTCCGTCTGATGTTATTTTAACATGCTAAAGTAAAAACTACAGAAGTTCTCATATCCACCCTCTGATTTTGCTTGTGGAATTGTCAAAAATATTATATTCATAAATTGTATTAAAAAATTTAAATTCCAAAAGCCAAGCATATATCCTTCACTACTATAGAGCTGGAAAAACAATGAACATCTCCTGTCACAGCATTTTATAACATTTTAAGACTTCTATCATCTCAAACTGAGGGATAAAAATCCAAAACAAACAAAATCTTCTCTCTTTAAACTTAAAGAGCTTAACCTAAAACCTTTAGTGTGATCTTCAATAATTAGTAACAGAAGCTTTCTGGTCCTTTCATTTATTTCAGAATCAATAACGATGTGTTAAATATTTGACATTCAAGTACAATTTTAAGAATATATTATATAACCTCACTAGTAAAATAAAGTTATCCATACTTCAGTTTCTTTGTGCTGAACAGTCCCGTGATTTGGTTCCCAAAATATAGTAGAGGTAGTGGAAACGTCTAGAAAATTTAAAAAGGGATAACAAAACTCAATAATAAAGATAGCCAAAACAGGGCCTTTCTTCAAACAGAAACAGTTATGTTTATATGATTAAATTCTTTCCCTTTAAAACATAAGATTAGTTCTCATATACAATTCTGGCCCCCATATAGTGCCCAAAAAACATTATTCCTCGATAAACAGCACTACTATGGCAGAAAGAGAGAGGAAAGCATGGGAGGGAGGGCACACAAACATGAATATGATCAAACATGTGGGACAAACACATCATTTGCTTTAAAATATGATAATGTGTTAGCCCACAACTCTAATGTCAGCAGAAAAAGGAAATGCATTTCATCTTCATGTGGCGCCAAGCAGATGCAGACAGAAGAATAAGAAAATAAACCCGAAGAAAAATGAATGAAGAATACACTGGCTAGATTAGATGAAGAACAAGCAAGATGGTTGTACTCCCAAAAAGTGTTCATTAATTAAAACAGAACCCGTGATTTCTAGGGCCTTTTTTTCCTTAATTTTAAAGAGATTGTGGAACTTTTAAAAAATACATATCACAACACTTCTTCTTTACCTTCATTATACCACTCTGGATTGGGGGACAGTTTTTAAATGTGCAAGGCACTGATTAAAAATATATATACATACGGTGACTTCTTTTCAGAAAATAAAGTCTCCTTTCTTTCTTTGTTTTTACCTTTCGAGGTACATTACTGTCAAGGTCAGGAAACTTGACTACTCTGAGGGCCTTTCCCACCCAGAGAACTGCCACTGTGGCCACCATCTGTAAACAGAGAACACAGATTCACTGTCCCACACATAAAGACACACACAGAAGCTCTCAGGGCATAACCACGTAATGCTGAAGATTCCAACTGACCTGGCCAAGTCCAACACATAGTGAGGAGGGAAATCTACAAAATGGTAGAGAGGGGGAAAAAAACACAGGGTCAGAAAAACCCAAATGTAGCTCTGTGAATTCCCTTTGCACCTAGGCAACCTTAAAATGCATTTTGATACCAAATACACTCATGTCAGCCCCTAACGCAAGTGAAAATGGGTGAGAAAAATCTCTGCGTGTTTGAGGCAACACCGCTGATTTTGTGCCCTGGGGCGGCCACTTGGCCGCACGTCGTCCGATGCTACAATTTCAGTCCGCTGCCTGCCACGGATTTTTTGAAGGAAACGAAGCCTGGGTCTCTTCAACGGTTTCACACCTTTCATGCAGAAATGCTTCTGCCTCAGGGTCCCCGGGACAGCATCGAGGCTTATTATAAATGGGCTTGAGGATGCGCACCCCAGAGGCTGTCAGCGAATTCGGGGAACCCTGAAGCCCCAGCCCCCGGCCCGGGCTTCGGAGAAGGGAGGGGATCCCTCGCTCTGCTCCCTCCCTGCCCTGCCCGGGGAACAACAGGTCACGAAGCAACTTCGCCCGGGCGCTCGGCGGGGAGGGCGCTGCGCGGCGGGCACCGCAGGCGGGC